ATCTCACCCCTTCTGGGGCATATTTTTCAAGTAATGAGATTGTGGATATTGATGCATCTGATGGAAAGAGGCTGGCATTGAGATTATAACATGACATGAGACATGCATTGCTATGATATGTTGTTTATATATTCCTATGAGGCATGATTGTCATTTGACATGTTATGTTTGTATTTGTGAAGAGCATATGGGTTGTCTATGCCTTCTTGACCAAACTGTGTTACTTATTATGCAATTTGACACGACATGATAAGACACGAATAACCTATTTACGACACAATACGACATGCATAACTTGTAACAAGATTAATGCGAGTTAATTTTAGGTTCACAAGTTGACACGCGATACGACACAAATATTTTCAGGTAAGCTTTTGCCAACATGAACGCTACACAAATTTTAAAACTAGTTGACTTGAACACAAATTTTTTGTGTTGTGTTCGTATCGTGTTAGCGAGTCGTGTTGGAAACTTCCACCCTAATAAGCATCCTCCAAATCCACCTTAATTTTATCGTTATCCCCATTAAAAAGTTTGTTAAAATGGTTCATCCCCCTTTCTTAACTTCTACATCTTTTATCAAAAGTTTTTTATTTTCATCCTTGATGCATCTAACCTGGTTCAAGTCTTTACTTTTCTTATCCCTTATATTTGCAAGTTTATTGTTGCGACTTCGGCAAGTGCACCGGTCGTAAAAGTAATAAAAGTGTACTGAGTACGAGATCGTTCCAACGAGCATTGGTTTTCAAGCACTAGTTCGCTAACAACGATTTAGTTGGACAATTGAATTTGAGATGAAAAGAATTGAAATTAAAAACAATCAATAACATGCACTTTCAGAATTAAAAGCAAGAAAGTAAAAAAGATGAAAGTTTTTGAAAATCAAGAAAGAGCGTAGTTAAGGTTTCGACTTCCCCCAATTTCCTCTTTATGCTACGAATTAAATAGTCAAGAATCTGCTCTTAATATAATGGCAATCAATTCTCTCTAAGTTAATTAGGGCTCAATTCCTTGTTACCCTAAATCTATGTAATCTTGAAAGAACTCTAGTTATCCAATTATTCCCCAAAAAAATATGCATTAAGATCAAGAATTCAAAGATTGCACAATTGCCCTATTCTATCCCTAGATCACAAGAATTGTGATAAATTTATCAAGTCAGGACTCATGCATCAACATCCCTATTGTCATACAATTCCCCTAGATCAATCTATAAGGAGAAAACTCATAGAAAGCATTAAAGACAGATAAATTTATTCAATTATAAAAAGAAAAGAATTCAGAGACAATTTAATTCATAAACATAAAGATTTAATTTATGTCCATGTGGTTGCTAGGATTGAGGCAAGTGGATCAACATTGAGTGACCAACCATTGGTGGAAGATATGGAGCTTGAGTAGCCTACTTGAATAGGTAAGTTCAGTCCAAGTTATGGTGCGTAATTATTGTATTGTTAATGAATATGTTGATATTCATTAACTTGTATTGATTGATTTTGTGACACCTTTGTGTAGGTGTGTATTTTGTAAAATTGTAGCTTGAATTCAAAGCTTGATTTTGGAACTTGGTGAATGACAAAGATATATTGGAAGCAATTAAGGTAAACCTTTGGATCTTGGAAGTTCATCCCTCTTATTGTTCCACCGTTGCTTTTATAGAAGTAATGGTTAATGATTGAATGATTGAGTGGTAATGTTAATATTATGGTATGTTTGCATTCATATAGTATTGTTGTGACATTGGAGAAAAGGCCAATGGACAAGCATTAGGGGCAAGGTTGTATGCTTAGCGGAAATGACTAAGATGCAACTGAAGTTTGTGTGATGATTTGATTGTTTAATTATTTGGCCATTTAAATGCATCAATATGCTGGAGTTAAATCATTACTGCAATTGCCTCTGGATATATGATGTAGTTCATGCCATGTGTATACTAACTCTTCATGCAGGAAATGAACTCTGGGTTGGAGGAATTCTCCAAGAACCCTGAGTTTATTGAGTTTTATCTCACCCTGTTTGGGGACTGCTATTTCAGGTATTAGCATGGATGATATAGGTCGGGCACGAGGCAAGAGGTTTGAGTAGATTGCCATATGATAGCATGCGATATGATTGTTTTGAAGTTCCTTACATCTATTTATATTTGGTTGCATCTTATATTTTTCTAGAAAGATATGTATAGGATGCACACTTGGTAGTAATATTGTATTGGACTAACAGTATGTATTTTTGGGGACTTAGATCATGAACATAGTCATTTTGTATCTTTGATGGTTGAAAGGAGAAAAATAACTTTGATAATGTGTTTTGTTAAGTCTAAGTCCTGGAACCTTGATTATTATGTAATTATATGCTAATGTGTGATGAAAGGGCTTTCAAGCCTATTTGGATATCATGTGAGCCTTGAAATGGCAAAGAAACATGTATTGAAGTTGTTGTATAATGTCTATTAGGTGAAAGAAAACCTTTGGAGTTGAGAATCAATGTAAATATAAGGATATCATATCTTGTACATTTTTCATATCCTATATGATAGATTTGGATCCCTGTATCTAATGGAAGTTATAGATCTTTTTCTTAGCTTTCCAACGAGACCAAGAACTGCATCAATCGGATAAGTATAACTCAAGTTATAAGTAAAATACTAAAGTTGAGAGTAATCTCCAGACCCGTGGCGCTGTTGGCACCACCAAATAGTGGGCTAGCACTTGGCGCCAAGTTGGCACTAATGGCTCGCAAGACAGTGGGAACCCAATTTTCTAGCGCTATCAGCGCCAGGCCCTACGAAATTCAACACCATTTTCTTCAAAAATTTATAGCTTGAGCTATGGTGCTCCAAATTGAGCGCGATTTGAACCCACGCGTAGCTAACGAAGAGATCTATAATATGGTGGGAGATGAGGACCATAGAGGAAGTATAGAATTCCTAGAGTTAATAAAAAGTGAAGATGTTGAGTGTTGAATATCAATAAAAATGAGTTTTTAAGCCTTGTTGGTCTAAGGGGACTACTTGGCACTTTGTGGGAGGGATGTATGCCATGGTTAAATAAACCTTTAGTGTTTCGCATATTGTTAAGTTATGGTTATAGCTTTTGAAATTGTTTTAATTATGTATAGGAGAATGATATTGTAATAACCAATTAGGGTTACTACCAATTAATTTCACCGTTAGATCGATTATGTTGATCCAACAGTTATATTTATTTCCATCTTTGTATGGTTATGATTTCTCATATTTAATGTGAAAGCATTAAATATAGGGAATCATAACCATACAAAGGTGAAAATAAATATAAAGTATTAAATAAGGGGAATCATAATCATACAAAGATGGAAATAAATATAACCATTGGATCAACATAATCGATCTAACGGTGAAATTGATTGGTAGTAACACTAATTGGTTGTTACAATATCCTACCCCTTATATATATGGGATATGTTATTCTACCTACTCTTATATTGCCTACCTTTGCCTACCCCTCTTAATACCGTCCGATTACAATTCCATCCAATGATCGATACTTGTGATATAAAAAAAAACCTTTTTTTGCCCTTCTTTCTCCTCACTTCCTCCCACACCCTTTCTCTCTCCTCCCCTTTCTCTCCTCCTCTGTGAAGCAGCCTTACTAATTTCCTTGGGCTTGGAGGCATCCTCTGTTGGTGTACATGAGCATCTCTATTATTTGCATAATTTCCACGATCAATATAGCACCTGCTCCCATAATTATTATGATAGGAACATCACCGTGTGGATGGTATCCAAAATTACCCGTACGAGAGGGACTCCGATGCTCATTCATCTGCGTCACAAAACCTGTGTTACTATGACATTATGATTAAGAATACCAAAAGATAAAATAAAAATCAGAATTGAAGGCTTAAATATTCAACTAAATAAAGGAATACTCAGAATTGAAGAACATGCTTCGTCTTGTTTCTTCTTCAATTTAATGAGCTCATTCTTTATATTCTTCAATCATATTCTTATTTGGTTGGTTCTAGTTATAAAAAAATTAAGATTACACACTCTTTTTTCTTTGTTATAAATTGTATTGATTTGTTGGTAGAATTTTCGAATAATCACCTACACATAGTAAACATACTCTGTCCCTAAGAATTAAGATAATTTCATAAAATCGTTTTAGTTATTGACATTAGGTTTAATTTTTCCATTTTTGAGTAATCACCTACATAGAGGATGCCTCCAAGCCCAAGGGAATTAGTGAGGCCGCCCGCTTCGCAAAGGGAGAGAGAAAGGGTGTGGGAGGAAGTGAGGAGAAAGAAGGCAAAAAAAAAAAAAATTTATATCACAAATATCGATAGTTGGATGGGATTGTAATAGAACGTTATTAAGAAAGGTAGGCAAAGGTAGGCAATATAATAAAGGTAGGTAGAATAACTTATTCCAAATAAATAATTATTCTTGCTAAAGAAAGTTGTTCCATTTTCCCCTAATCATTACATGGAGCTCTTCCTTAGGGTTGGCAAAATGGGCCAATCCGGCCCAACCCTCATTCAACCCGAAAAAAACGAGCCGGGTTAGAGTTGGCTCCAAAAAAAAACGAGCCAGAAAACCCCAACCCAACCCGAGTCGGGTTAGGGTTGGCTAAAAAATATGGTTCGTGGGTTGGCTTGAAAAAATAGCTCGCGAGTTGGCTCGAAAATTGTTCGTGAATTGGCTCGTTTTCAGCTTATTTAATTGACCCTGTAATATTAATGCACCAACTATATGGCTTCCATTAGCTTAAACAAAGGGTTACAAAATGAGAAATAAAAGAAAAATATTTTAGTTTCAAATTTTCTTCACAACAAATTTGCATCAACATCTAGAAACAATCAGAACCACTTGCTACCAGGTGGGTAACATATTTGAACCAAACAGAGTCAGCACAGCCTAACAATATAAATATGGCAGGACGTGAGAAGATTAGGGACTTAAGTTTAGAGAAGGAAGAAAAATGATGACAACATGTGTGGATTTTGTTCATTTTTGTATATTATATTTTGTATTTTTCTTATTAAAAAAAAAAAAAAAAAAACTCAACCCGCGAACTGGCTCGTTTGACCCGCAGGTTTGCTCGTTTTTTCACGGGTTGAAACTAGCCAGGTTGGCAGCTCATTATTGCCAACCCAACCTGGCTCATTTTTTGCGGGTTACTAGCCAACCCGCGTATTTGCCATCCCTACTCCTCCTCATGCCTTGTCTCCTGATTTCCCATTTTTTTCTGCTCTACGATTAAAAATCTTGGTCCAACCAAACCTGGTCTGCTTTTGATTCTGATTCTGATTCCCAGTATTGCTTTCAGCATTGTGCTCCACTCTTAACTCATGCGGCTTCTGATTCTGATTAGTGCTCTGCGCATCATGCTCCACCCTTAACTTCCCGTAAGGTGCCTTATTGAAATTAGATCCCAACCTTCCCAGTCTTTCTTGTCCTATGATGATTGCTGTTTCCATCATATATTTGTCAGAAACTGGGACATTCTTTGAAACAATTGATGCCTTCATTTTCCCCCAAGATTTATTCAATCTCATAGCGTCTTGCTCTATCTTCCTCATTAATGCTTGCAATGCAGGATCGTTATATTCTTCCTCCAAGGATTCCCCGTAGGAACGCTGGCATTTCAATAGAACAGTGTTTACCCTTTCCCCGAAGGCTTCGTTGCTTTTCCAAAATCTCCACACAAGTGGATCTCCTTCTTCTAGCTCGAAGCTTCCCCAATAGCGACGGCTTGGAGCTTCAGCTAAATTTTTAGAAGTGTGACATTCACATTCATCTAGAATAATAGGCATGTTTATATTGATGTGCAACATCTCATGGCCTTTTGTCTTCATAAGTTGTGCCCGTGCTGTCAATAATTCTACCACCAATCGGCCTAAATTTTGAATTTCTTGTTTCTGTACATTCTCCATCAACATGTCTAAAACCTGTGCCACATCCCACACAAATTCTTCTTGTTCTTGCTTTAAGCTTGCCCCATAGGCAGAGGCTGAAGCATCCTCTTTAACATCATCAGCCTTTGCATTCCTCCACGATCTCAATATTACATTTGTAACAGAGGCAATTTGATCTAATTTTAAAAAATTCAAGTACTGGCCAAATATTTCTAATAGATCCAAACTTTGTACATGTCTTATTCTCTGTTGTGAATTTGTTTTTGGAACCAAATGCGATGGTGGCATGTTCTCTGTTGAATTGGGAGGATCGAATCTGATATCATCTGTGATTGTTTCTTGCTTGTACACATGAACTCCCCAGCGTCTCAGATTCAACCGTGATTCATATTGAACCTGAATGGCCTTCCAATCATATCCGAGATTTGCATCAAGGCCCTGCCACTCTTCTTCACTGAACAAAACTCGTAGATCACACAATAACACATGATTTTCCCCAACAGTGAAATAATGGTTAGCTCTGCTACATATTTCTTGCCCGTCAATAAACAAGTGGAGGCCAACAGTGTGGGACTGATCAGCTGATACAACTCCAGGCAGGAATTCTGAGTTATTCATCTCTATCTTAACATTCTCTTTGACTTCCTCGAACACAAATGCTAAAGCAACAACAGGGAACTTTCGGCGAGCCCAGAAAAGTGGAATATCTTCATTGCCAACAGAGTCAAACCAATCTGGAACTTCTGTTTTTGGCATCACAACTTGTATTCTTTGGATCTCCTTACAAACCTGTGACATCAAAAAGATAGTAATGGGCTGCTTAACCTATTAATAAGGCAACACTTCTAACTCAATACATTAACCAATAACTACATACTTCAGTTATTAATTTTTCAGCAAAATTGATAAAAGGTATAACATGAGATATGACTCAAATTAAAATATTAAAAAGGGATGAAAAGAGGATGGTCATAACAAAAGAATTGGATATCTTATTAGAATGTAAGAAAAAGGAAGAGGGCGAGCCTGTGGTAAAGTTGCTGTTGTGTGGCTAAAGGTTACAGGTTCAAATCTTGGTAAAAACCTCTTTCAAAAATATATTAGAATGCAAGAAAACGGAAATAATGAAAAGCAAATAATTTACAGGAAGATACATAAAAGGAAAAAAAGAGATAAAAACATACACTAAGCTATTATTTTACCAAAGAATAAATAATAGCATTATGTGAATAGTGGAGGATGTAGTGAAACCTTAGACCATAGCATGCTTGATGCCTCTGAAGTTAAGGATCGACAGTATCTCGCATCTACTTTCTGAATACTTAAGGGAAGTTCTGGAATTTCCATAAGATTCCTGCAGTAGCTCACATCAAGACTTTTCAAGGGCAAAGATTGTGTGATACATTTTGGGAGGAATACAAAATCATTATGCGATACATCCAAGTATTCCAATTTTGGAAATATTTGAAGAATTATGCAAAGATCTTCGCATGATAGATTAACCTCGCTTAGATATAGTGCCATTAATTTTGGGCAGCCATTTGCTACTAAATGGCTCTCTTTGAACCTTTTAAATGATTCTCCGAGTTGAGAACTTCCATCCATTTTTAACTTGACAAGTTTTGGCAACAATAAAAAGCCTCTTGATAGATCCTTGAGTGCTTTGCAATTTGACAAGTCTACATACTCAAGCCCAGTCAGGTAACAAATGGACCTTGGAAATTCCTTAATAGCAGTATTTATCATGCAAATCTTTAATGGCTTATCCATCTTTCGCATTACTTCTGGGAAGTCTTCAAGTCTTTTGCAAAAATTAAATGAAAGCACTTCGAGAGATGGCAAATACATTCTTGGCACAAAACTTTTGAGCATGGTGCACTCTGATGCACTTAAATACACAAGATTCGGCATAAATCCAATGGATTTATCAAACTTATCCAATTTATGGCATCTGTCAAGTGTCAATATTCTTAAATTTTTTGCTCCAGACAAGTCAGGTATTTGAGTTATGTATTGACACTGGGAGAGATTGATGAATGTCAAATCCTCAAATATCTACGAAACATAATATATTTATAATGATTAGGGGCATATTCAAATATATTTAATTTTAGCTCATGCTAACGACAATTTTGTTACGTATTTAAATTGAGAGAGAATGAAAATTTATGTACCTGAAGTGGCTTTTTCAATATCAAAGGACTATGAGATAACTTGAAGTCAACAATTCTTTGAGGATAAAAATCAGCTGGAAAAGACTGTGATGGGAACCCCATCCAATCAAGTAACCGTAAACTATTTGACAGATAACTAGGTCCTGTTGAAAATGTTGTGTTCCGAACAATAAGAATTCTGAGGTTCCTCATATTCTCGAAGGAAGTATTAGTCCAATGGTCTACTTCTTCATGTCTAGGAGGATGAAGCATTATTCCTTCAATTGTACTACTTCCCTATAAAACACATTCAGAGAATAACAGCAATTACATTTGCCGTATTAGAAAAACATATAAAGGTATAAAAACAAAGAGGAGGTTAAAAAGGAGGATTCTTACTGAGTTTCCTTCGAGTACTTGGAGAACGTCTTTATAAGACCATAATCTGCTGCGGTTACCGGGGCTTGATGGTGACTCCTTCCTAACAATCTCTCTACCCATGTCTTGTATTAGATCATGCATATCCAAGCAGCCATTTTCATCAATAGTTATGAGACATTTACTGACAAATACTCGAATAGTTGGAAAGAAATCACAAGCCTCTAGTATCCTTTTAACATATTCCCATCTCTCTCCTTTGAAGAAGCAAGCAATGTCCAAGAATATTTTCTTCTCTAATTCAGACAGACCATAGTAGCTTATTTCTAGTATACCTTGAATCTCAGCATCTGGAACCTTCCTATATTTGCCCAATTCAATTTCCCATTCCTCTACACTCCCATCCTTCAAATTGGATCCTATTACTCTTAAAGCCAATGGAATACCCTTTGCATAACTTACTGCACGAGTAGAGATATCTACAAAGTTTTCAGCAGGCCTTCTCATATTAAAGGCATACCAGCAAAAGAGTTCAAGAGAGTCACGATCATTTAGCTCCTCCATTTTATATTTCTTAATTCCCACATCATGATTATCTAGCACAGCTTCATCCCTTGTTGTTATAATGATCCTGCTACCAGAACCAAACCAATCACATCCTCCAGCCAGTGATTCCAATTGTTTCATCGCATTGACATCATCCAAAACCAGAAGAACTCTTCTATGGCCAAGCCTGCGTTTGAGTTCAATACCTCCTTTAAATGCACTGCCCACCATGGTTTCTGTCTCCTCACCCATCTGAGATAGAAGTTCCTTTTGGAGATCCTCCAGGCCTTTAATGCTTTTTTCTGATTTTTCTCTGACATTAACAAGAAAACTTGCAGCACCAAATTCATGCCTGATCTTGTTATAGATACATACGGCAAATGCGGTTTTGCCAATTCCACCAGCTCCATAAATTCCCAACATGCGAACGGTATCATTAGACCCAATATCTATGAGTGACTTCACCTGTTCAAAGTGAGAATCAAGTCCAACTCCGTGGTTTATTTGTAAAGGCGCTGGAGCTACTTTAGTCAATGTGTCTTTAACAATCTTCTCAATAAGCTCAGATTCAAACCTGCAGGAACATAATACTCTTCCTATTTCATTATAGTACTGAAAATAAAAAAAAATAAAAAATTACATGATTAAAATCCTGTACTGACAGAATTTAGACTCTAACAAAGACCTCACTTGTTACAAAAACATGATTAAAATCTTCCATGTTCCCCAATACTTATCAACATATAATAAAAAAAATATCAGTCATGCCCAACACATTAATAACAAATTAACAATCAAAAGATTTGTAACTTGGAAACAGGTGAAGGGATTCATAAATAACTTACGAATCGTCCTTGCAATGTTTTCCGCTTATGTCGCATACTCTAGTCAAAGCTGACCTCCATGCTTTCACCTTTTCCGAGTCTTTTCCGTAGGTCTTTTCATGTTCAGTCATGGCTGCTTCATAAGAATTTCTTTGTTTCCGTATATCTGATGGTTCCACTTTGTAAAAAATTGCCGTAACATGTTTTCTCTTGTTGTCAATATACTCAGTGATCTTGGCTAGTTCATCAAGGCAACGGATGGAAGATGCATAGTTTTCACAGAGCACAACCATTGACATTCTGGACTTCTCAATTTCATCATCCCCTATCCTCAGTTTTCCCTGATCCCTAAAGGTGTTGATTCCTTTATCAAGCAAAGCTCGAACGAGACGGTCAACCAATGCGTTGCTGCTTCCGCATCTAAAACTAAGAAAAACATCATAGCTGAAATCTGAGGATGTTGCATCATGATTTGCCATGATATTAATGAGAGTTGACTAGAGACTTTTGCAGAGCGTAAGCTTGGGAGATTGGTATAACTTCACGCGTCTTATATGATTGAAGCATGGGTCTTTAATATTTAAATACTCATACCAGTGGGCCACAAATGAACCAAGCAGCTAGATGCTGTCGAGTTCGCAGGAAATGGGAAATTAAAGAAGAAAATAAGATCACAAGTTTTTTTTTTTTCATTTTATATATATATATACTCTGAAGCATGGACTCGTCAATTTTGGAAAAAATTGTGTGCGGGACACCAACACATTCCTTAATGCATTCTACACGTGGTCAATTTTTTAGAACATGTTGACTAAAGGGACACGCGATTTTAACCGAATCCAACACGCGATCAACATATTTGGACACCTTTTGAAACACGTTTTGGCATTTTTTTTTAAAAATAAAATAAAAATTACAATTTAAAAAAAAAGTAAAAATATTTAATAGAAAGTAAAAAGTTTAGAACCTATGTTTCGTGTTCAGTCTTATTAACTCTTCATCACGATGCCGCTGCTACTCTTTTCGTCATCTTCGACTCCGACCTGTCGTCTCCGACTCCTCTTCGTCATCTCCGACTTTCACCCAAAATTAGATTAGATCCAGAGGTTACCTCATCCCAATGTTCTCTGAAATGACTTGAAGTACACTCAAGTGAAAAAGGGGAACTTATCCTTTATATTGGGTACAAGATTTGCGATATTATTTGTGGCTGATAGAAGTCGTACAACTTTGTTTTTTTTTTTTTTTCTTTCTCTTTAAATGTAAGTCCCATTTCATTCAAAACAAGCATCAAACTTTTGTCTTGCGCCTACCACCCTGTGCACGAGAGTTATTATCTTGCCCAAGCTATTCAAATTAGTTTGGACCGTTTTTTAACTCACCTAGTTTTAGTTCCGTTGGATATACTGACAACAAATTAAATAAGAGATTAATGTATCTGTAAGACATTTCAAACACATAAATACAATTTATTTTTCTCCTTTTGAAGTTACGTGACTTATTATAAGTTGTTATACGTATTAAATATAAACTATATTATATGATATAAACAGAAACAGCGAAAGACTTAATTTACGAAAATACGAGCTAACTTTTTCTTTTCTTTAATCCTTTTTCACATGATATCACACATTTCATACTTCTCCTAATTTAATTCTTATTTGACGAAGACGAAAATCAGGCAGAGTAACCTCTGTAAATTGGACAATTGGGGATTTGCAAATCTCACTCTCAAGGGTTCCTGATAGACAGTTTACATCATATATGCTTTTAGAAATATCAGACATTTATAAAGGACCATATACTCATCCATGGGCGCATGCATAACTTGGCTCTGTGCCACTATGTCTAACAGCATACATATCCAACAGGTAATCATATAACTGAATACTACATCGTAATATAAACAAGTCTGAATACGCAATTGTACATGCATCAAAGCAGAAAACATGTTCAAATCATATACAGGCCATATACAAAATAAAGGATCAGACATCATGATCCAAAATAATGGAATATGAAGCAACGTAAATATACTCCAAAATGGCAGTAGCCTACAGCTACTCAAAAATCCGGTCTGTCGTAGCACCTCTTGTAACACCCCGTTCTAGAACCGGTTTGTTAACATTACGTATGGCATTAGGCGAAGTTATGATAACATATATTTTGTTACACTTATTTGTTACTCTTGATTAGTATTTTTAGGATTTATTTGAATAAAATAATGATTGTTAGAGTTAATTTAGGTTTTTAGTTTTTAATTGGGTTTAATTTATTTTCGTCAGAATTTTTCAGCTTTACGTTACTTCTGTATTTTGGCCATATCTCGGTCCATAGTTGTCGGATTGACTCTGTTCTTGTTGGGTTTTTCAGATAACACAGAGAGCTACAATTCTTATGTAGAGCTCTAAGCCCAATTCGGACTAGAAGCTGGTCGATTTCGAACACCAAGTTGGACGCGTTTTGCTGAAGTTTTGTTTGACTATTGGGCTTGTAATTTAAATTAAAACCCAATTACTTAAGTGGCCCAAAGCCAAGTTTTATTGTTTCATTTTATTTTATTCGGTTTTTTTTATTTTATGTTTGGGCTGGAGCGATGAAACCCTAGCCGTCCTGCGTGACGGCTATTTAAAGGGGACTCTAGGAAACCCTTGGTAGTCAGTTTTTACAACAGAGAAGTTCTCTCTGAGTTTTTATTCAATTGCGTTCTTCATCTTTTTTCTTCTTCTTCTTCTTATTTTTTGAATTATGTTTACCTTAGCCATGCGAGGCTAAGAACCTTTTAATCAACCTAAGGGTAATGGATTCCATGGATTAGTCTTGAGGATCTGCGTTTATTTCAAATCAATTTTGTTTCCCTTCCCAACTCAGATTGATATCGTGCGATCGTGGATATTCAATCTGAGGTTCGCGATTGCGATTATGGAAAGGGATTAATCATCAGATTTAATGATTAGGTTGATTGACCCTATGACCTTAAATCAAGCGGGCTGATACTCTGCGATTGTATGAGTAGAAGCATCGTCTTTGATCAAATGCTAAGCGATCGCTTAGAGAGGGTTGTCAATTGGAAATAAGGATTCTGATCCGATTGACAAATCAATCACGATTCTGATATCTTCTTATCCGAGGAAAGACGTCCATGGAACCCAAACCTTAGGTTGGTTATTTTTAATTACGAATTTTTATTCCAAATTTATATTCTGCCTTTTTAATTATTGAATCAAAATCCAAAACTCCCCTTTTAGTTTTCTGTTCTCATAAGCGATTTTAACCAAAACAATTTCCTTGAGAGACGACTTAGGGTTTCCACTTTACTGCAAATTTTCTGAACCCTAAAGAATTAATTTTTAATTTGCGCGAGTTCGACAGCTCGTGTCAAATTTGGCGCCGTTGCCGGGGAAATTGCATTGGTCTAAATCGTTTTCTGATTCTTGATCATCTTCTTTTTCATCTTCATATTCTTTTTCTTTAATTTTCGTTTTTGTAAAAAAAAAAAAGCAAAAAAAAAAAAAATCAATCAAAAAGAATAATTTTGTGGAAATCGGTAAAACTTCAGTTTGAGCGATTGGTTCCAGGACGTATCGGGTATTTCTGAACTTGTTCAACTTGCTCTGATCGCTCTGAAAATTGGTGAGCTGAAGGAGATGATCATCCCTGTCAAAAGTCGTGAGGCTGTGCCTCACGAATTAGGCCCTGGTTTTGCCAAATTCCTTTGTTTACTATTTTATTTTATTTTTCGAAAAAAATTTATTTGATTTTTGAGTCCGTATGGTCAATTAGAGTTTAGGAGAGTTGGTCCCATAGTATTCTGAGTTCATTTAGTATTTTTTATAGATTTATTTTTGCTTCTGTTTGCTATGAATCCAATTTTTCACCCTACAGATGTTTGTTCTTCCTTTCCAGACAGCGGTTTCCAAGTTGATCAGTCTGTTGCTGCAGTTTTTCCTGCAAAGCCACAATACCAGCAGATGCAGCAGCAGCAACAAAACAATCATTTCTCTAATGCATATAATCATGGCTGGAAAAATCATCCAAATCTCAATTGGAATCAGAACCAGCAAAGTGCACCATTCCAACAGAGGCAGCAGTTTGCACCTTCTCAACAGAGGCAAAATTTTCAACAATTTGCACCTCCACAGCCAATGCAGCAGCAAGCCAGTAGCGATGATCCTTCTTTGGAGGATTTAGTGAAGCAGATGGCAACTATCAATCTGCAGTTTCAGCAGATTACTGAGTATTCCCTCCAGAATCTGCAAACACAGATTGGCCAGCTTGCAACGTCAATGAGTCAAAATCAACAAGCAAGTGGCAGCTCCCTTCCATCCCAAACAGTTCCAAATCCAAAAGGAAGCGGAAATGTGAGTGCTATTACTCTGCGGTCTGGCAAGCATATGGAGGAGCCAAACCTCACTGCTGCTGAGTCATCTAAGGGAAGTGACACTAGCTCCAAGAAGCAGAGCACTGATACATCTGATCATCTTGTTTTCTGCATTGATGTGATAGATGAAGTTGTTGAGGATTTTTCTCCTGAATTCCTTACTGATTTTTCATCTATTCATGGTTCTGATTTCTGTGATTGTAGTGATAGTCAAGAGTGCATTGTGTGTGCTGAAATAGCATCACATCTTTCTGGTTTTAACGATGCACTTATTGATGAATCTGATTCTGAGTGTGAATCTGCATTTTCTGAATTGCCTGCTGATATTATTGATGATCCTAATTCTGTTTCTGAGAATTTGTTTACAGGCATTGCTGCTGACTTGTTTTCTGCAGAATTTGCACCACCAACTACACCTCTTCCATCCAGTGAGCAGCCTCCGAAATTGGAGTTGAAGGTTCTGCCCGACCACTTGAAATATGCATTTCTTGAGGAAAATGAGCAGTTACCTGTGATAGTGGCCAAGAACCTTCTACCTGAGCAGGAGGTAAAGCTTCTGACATTGCTGAAAGAAAATAAAAAGGCAATCGGATGGACTTTAGCAGATAATGTGGGAATCAGCCCTTCCATGTGCATGCACCGCATTTTACTTGAAGGTGTTAAACCAGTGAGGCAGAAATCAGGCTGTTTGATGCTGTTTATTCTCCTTAGGGAGTTCAGGGAGTTCTCTTCCCTCTTTTTCTTTTCTTTATGTTATTTGCATTTTTCTTTTTCTTTTCCTTTCTTTCTTTTAGTTTTTGACTTTTTCTTTTCTTTCTGTTATTCGCATTTTTCTTTTTCTTTTCCTTTCTTTCTTTTAGTTTATGATTTTTTATAGGTAGATTTTCCTTTTCTTTCTGGTAATTATTGAGTGGTACATGGAGTAGACTTCGATCACAGTGTTTGATAGCACAATCTGTTAGGCTTTGATCTCGATTCTTGGATTACAACTACTTGTTGATTGATTCTGTGTTGTTGATTGCATGACTTGGTTTACCCTTGTAAGGTTTTGAGCCCGCATACATGGCATATCTTCTGGCCATGCTTTCTTTCTTGTGT